TAGCTAAGAGATGCGGCTAAAAAGAAAAGCCACATCACAGCGATTGACAAAGCAACCGATAAAATATAACAGTTCATGGTTAAAAATGTGTTTTTCAGTAAGCCCCAACCGTGACTTGAGTCAGTCATACCGTGTAAGAGTGATAGATGATTGTACAAAACTCAATAATGATTAAATGTCTCGTGATTGATGGCATTAGTTCATACGTGTATGTGGAACTAGATTGCACGTGCATCAGTTTAAGGGGTTCCCTTAAACTGATGGTTTATAATTCCCTTGGTTTATAATGGAGCACTGTAACAAAAAAATAATTTCCCCCAGGGATCAATAAAGTATTCTGATTCCCACTAACGTTGAGACGTTATAGTAAACTAGACCGTCAGTTTGAAGCGACTGCTTTGTGGCCAGTGTTAATAACTGGTGTGGCTGGGTGGTGGTGAAAAGGTTTTGAAACCAGTGCTGATGTGGGATTTCAAGGGGAAAGCAGATATATTCTTGTGATTGTTAATTGTTTCCACCTTAACACAGCTGAATTTTTGAGACTGCCTAATGTAGTTCTGTTTTAACATTTTACTCAGGTTTACTTTGTCATTGGTAACCCTTAATGTATTTTGGCAGACCAAGAAGAGGAGGAACAACGGTCGTGCTAAGAAGGGCCGTGGGCATGTGCAGCCCATTCGCTGCACCAACTGTGCCCGTTGTGTCCCCAAGGACAAGGCCATCAAGAAGTTTGTGATCAGGAATATCGTGGAGGCGGCAGCCGTGAGAGACATCTCAGAGGCCAGCGTCTTCGACTGTGAGTGTATTGTATTGTACTTAATTTCATAAAACCCCCTTTTCATCCCGATGATTTGACTCATCTGTACCTTTGTCCACTCTGCAGCATATATTCTGCCCAAGCTCTATGTGAAGCTGCACTACTGTGTCAGCTGTGCCATCCACAGCAAGGTGGTGAGGAACCGCTCCTGTGAGGCCAGGAAAGACCGCACCCCACCACCCAGGTTTAGGCCTGCTGTAAGTACTATTTAAACACAGTTCTTACCTCCTGTTGTGTAGCTCCATTAAGTGTTTAGAATTATTTTTGTATAGCACCTTAATTAGGTAGATAATCTCATTACTAATAACAGGAACACAAAAGTATAACTTGGGCAAAGTTCCATCCGTGGTTACACCTGTTTAATCTAAGAATGTTTCTCTTTTACAGGCTGGTGCACCAAGAGCTCCTCCGAAGCCCGTGTAAAGCAGAAATTGAAAATGCTGTAAACCTGACAAATAAATGGAGAAATCTTCACAAAAACATGAACGTGTGAAGCTCATTAATTGAACGATGTTTACTCATAGGAAAGACAAACTGCTCAAATATTTTATTTGGAATAACTTTTTTTACAGTACAAAACTAACAGTAGCTTAAGATCAAATTATGCAAATGCAAAATTACATATGATACATTTAAAAACGCTCTGCGGTTACTTAAAGCGATATCAGACCACTTGGAGAGCAGGGAAATGCAGGTTAGAAAAACTGAAAAGAACAAAGTGCAACAAGGAAAGTTTAAAAACACGGAATACCACAAAGCTGGAGTTTATTTTTGTAAGTATAGGCTAAAACTGGAGTAGACTGTTTATTTGGTTGTCTTTAAGATTAAAACAAAGGTGGCTGGGTGTAAGCTGAGGAGCAAACAGCATTGGTACCACATGCATCAGGTTTAAAAGCACATTACCATTGTAGCACACATGAATTAATGGTGAATTTGCTCCACTAATAATGCAGAACTTGTTAATTAAATATCCAAATTCTGTCAAAGAACTGAACCATTGAATAGAGTAAAACCTTTTTACTTTGAATGTTTTTGTACAATATTTCACTGAAGGTCAACAAAACTGGATACATCAAATATTAAGTTATTTCAGTATTTTTCTTTGGCTCCTAAGTAGCATTACCCAAGTCCTTTTGATGAATTAGTATTTAATGGATTGTTGGTAAAAAAAAAAAAAGTAGTTTTGGGCAGGGTCACTGAGTGGTGGGTTGAGGTATACTCAAAACATGGAGCCTCTTGCACTAACACAGCATAAAGTTTCACACTGAAAATAAATTTGAACCGTTTAGACATAAAACACATTTAAGACCTCCAGCGGAAGGCACAGCAGCAACAACCCAATTCACGCACGTCACACCAACTGGAGAAAAGTCACGTGGGCCTAAATGAGAATATACACAGTGTAAGATGATATGAAGTGACACTGCTAGCTTTGGTGTTACTGCAAATGTTTTGTAGATTTTTAGACTCCCAAGAAACTTTCAGATTCTGATTTGCAAACTAATGTCAGTCCCAACTTAATTTAACAGTCTGCTCACAAATTAAGGCAAGATGATTAGAATATTAAAGTACCGTAACCTGATGAGAAACAAAAATTTAAAATGTGTTTAGGTTGTGTTACTAGAGTGGCAACCAGATCACCTTACTGCACTTTGACAATAAAGGACTGAAACAATAACCAAACAAATGTAGATCCACTTGTAACAATTAATCCACCATCAAATGAAACAAGCTGAACATTATGTCATGTCTTTTCAAAGATCTTCTGCAAAGAGAAAAAAATTTGAATATATCAAGGCTTTAATAACAGCGTTATTAAAAGAACAAGAACACCTTGAGGTTTTCTTGTAACTTATACTTTATGTACAAATATTATTTACTTTATGTTTTCATTTTTTTGCCACTGTAGTAGGGAAAAGTGCTTAACAGTAGGAAACAGTGGTTCTTTGGCTCAGCATTGGGGAAATTATTTGGTGCTTATAGAGAACCACGGTACTGCTGATCTTAAAAACAGTTTAAAAATGATTACTGTTTTATTTCTCTTTGTAGAACAAAACATCCAGAAAGCTGTTTAAATATAAGTGAAGATAAAGTTCAGTATTCTCAAACACTGACATGACCCAAAATATGCTTAGATCTGACTGTGAAGGTTCTACAGGAAGTAATATTTCTTGGGCATCTATTATGAAAATAGGAAATACCAGTTATAACTACAAGGGAAACTTTACTCAATAAGACACTGTCTGAACTTAAAAAAAAAAACTAATGGGATCAAGTTACTTGATGAATTTGACTAGAGTCACTGTTTTTCCAGTCTTCTCTGCAAATATCTGTGTATCTTTGGTAAATCTGTCACCATGTCCCAGATTGATCTTTGTTGTTGTTGAGGATGTGAAAAGAAACCCTAGCTACAGTCAACATCAATTAAGTTTTAATTTTTGTGCACAAGTCTTCAATTTAGAATTCAAAGCATCCTTCTCAACAGTAAACGTATTGTGCTTGTGTTAAACTAATTACTCACAGAGATTACAACAACCATCTCTGCTGTTTCAACATGAAAATAAATAGAACCAAAAGCTGACACATTTCTCTTCACATTTCATTTCCACACAAATGACCAAGACAGGATGGAGATATATATATATATATATATATATATATATATATATATATATATATATATATATATATGTATATATATATATATATATATATATATATATATCCCAAGCGATATGAAAGACTCCCATTTCGTTCTATTGTAACTCAAGCGACTGGTTTAAAATGTCCTAACAGGAAAAAAATGTAAATAAAAGTCTTTGTTTCTAACCCATGAGGACGGTAGTGAAGTGCTACTGATTTACTGCACACCCATGTCATAGCAGCATGTTTCAAAAGCCATGCACATTTCATCATCATCAACATTGCTCAGGCATCAGAATTGATCTTTGCTGATAAAACTGTTGGAGGTGGTGGGGGGAGCCAGACTTCTGTTAGATAGATTAAAAAGCTACAGTCAACTACAAGACAGAAATGATTTTATATCTCACATCCTTCAGTCTGGTCAGAAACGTGTAGAAAGGCACGGGACAATGACGCAACACCAAAATCATGTTTAAATACAGCATAAGCAGATTTGTTGATTATTATTGTTGGTTTGCCGTATGAGGGAGTTTTTGTACGGGGAGAAAACGAACACCTTAACCTCCTTCGGTAATCTCTCAAGTTGTGGCAGTGATGCTCGAATCCTGTTCCTAGTGAGAAAAACATTCCACCTGTTCTTCCCTCACATTTTCAGAGAAATGTGCAGGTCATTAATGTATTCTATAAAATAGTTTAATATAGTCATTGTATTCTGGCAGGTATCAGTGCAACAAAAGCAGTTATAGAAAAGGAAAACAATTCATACACTTCCAACACGGCATTCACTCACAGGAATAAAGGCCTTCATTTTCCATTTTACGTTTTAAATTTACTTTCAAAAACAATCACACACAATCTTGCAGCTTTCCTTTCTCTCAGACACACACACACTCTGTTCACTCCATTCACACTGAAACCAAAGTGCATTTCTATTCCAATGACAAACCCTCAAACATTAAAGTCTACATGACTTGGACTTGGTTTTTAAGTTTGGTCTGCACTTTACTTTGCATTATAAAACTTGTACAGAATCAACCCCGGGCTAGGAAAAAACCTGGCCGAACCTAAAGTCTGTTTGAGAATCACTTAATTGGAAAAAGTGCTTTTAGAAGGTGTCAAAAAAATTCTGTAGGGATTGCAAGCCTACAAACTTTATATTTAGCATTTTCTTTCATCTCTGCTAAATTGTGCAAGGGGTGAAAGATTTCAGCAACAAAAGTCAGATTTGTCTACAATAATGTGTGCAGCAGAGCTAAAATTCTGAATTTTAGAGCAAGGCACATCTGTGGATGAAAAAGTGTTGGCTCTTCATCTACTTTAATAATTTAATATAGATTTCTTGTTAAAAGTGGACAGAAAGCAACTACTACTCTAATTCTTTAAACATATACACGAGCTTTCCACTAATGCCAACTGTGTCGGTGTCGTTAGGAACATCAGTTTCACATCATCACAGATGCCTTTCGCTTTTGTGCAGACCAAACTCAACCAGTTCCCATTCTCAGTGTAAAATAAAAAAATTAAAAAAAAAAACTAAGGGCAGCAGGCTGTCCTTTTATTCTCAGTCAAAGATGTGCTCTCCACGGACAATGTGCGAAGAAAATTCATAGCGATCCTGGCTGCGATGGCCACAGATGTTGCACTCAAAAGGCTGCCGAAAACCATGGCAACCCATGTGGATTGTAAACATAACATGGTCCAGGAAAAGCACGCGGCAGTGCTCGCAGCGGAAAGAGCGTACAGCTCGCCCCTCCCCGTCTACAACCCGAAAAGTCTCCTTGGAGGTAGAAGAGGGTGCCGTAGGTGAGCTCGGTGTTGGAGCATGTGTGGGAGGAGGGAGAGCAGAATGGCCTCCATCCTCTCTTTTCATCTCCCGGTCTTTGGCATGACTGGGGCTGTGTCTGCCCCGACTCCTGTGGTGTGCGATGGGTGGAGGTGCTGGGTTATGGTTGTTAGAGTGGAGGAGGTGATGGCCGTTGTTACTGTACAAAGTCGGAGTCGGAGCACAGCTGTTGTAAGGCTCATCTGCCATGCTTTCTGTGTCCGTAGAATCCTGGCAGCCATTGCTAGGAGAAGGGGCGTGATTTCGACCCGGAGGCAGGTCTTCGTGACCCTCTGCTGCCTCCCTGCTCCCAACACCCACAGCTCCCAGGCCAGCTCCTGCCCCTGTGCAATCTAACCTTGGCCCAAGGGGAACAGGAGCATGACTGAAGCTGTGAATCGGCCTGAGTTCTGATAAACTTGAAGAGTGACTGGTGGGAAGGTGCAAGGATCTGAGTGTGTCTGATACCCCTCCTCTTCCAGTACCTGCAACACCTACATATTCTCCTCCCAGACCAGTAAAGTGTGGGGCATCAAGGTCCACTGGGTGCATGTCTCCATCTTTATCCAAACTAGCAGTGAGCTTGTAAGGTGTATCTGCAAGGTTGAGGCGTATGTGCTTCTGCCCTGCAACACAGAAAGATATGACTTTATAATACAGTACAATGACAGTCAGCATTTTGGATACATTCTCTATTTTACGATGATGCTGGTTATTTTCCTAATTTTACAAGATGCTGAAAACTTAGTTTTTTCTTTGTGTGTTTCTTTTTTCAGTTAGATTGCTATACTGAGAGCAGCTTTCAGACCTTTCCTAACCAAATAAATACTGTGTGCTAATTGGATATCTAAAATTATAGTGGCTGGTAATATAAGCACAACAAAAGATTTCTGTCTTACTTCATGCTGTATTCCAATTCAAGTAATGATTATTGCTTTCTGAGTTTCCTGAAACCGTCCACACTGAGACCAAATGCTCACCTACAAATTTTTGTGGCGTGGATCTCTTGCGTTTGGTGATGCTGTTGGCGAGCCGATCGATAAATGCCATCTTGTCTGAGGATGGCTGCAGTAGAGGATCTGGTATAAACTCTAGCTCTCTCATTTCCTCTCCTGTACAGAGTATAAACAAACTATTATTACTTTTATTTTAGGATTTTCTATTTGTGTTTGCCTAAATTCCGGTTTGGATAAAGTGGGTTCTAAGCGTTAACTTGCTAAGCTGGCAAACTACATGTCTACATTAGATGCTACTACACTCCCTTTAGGAGGCTGGTATTTCTTTAACACCATACTGTGCAAGTTATATCTATGAACACATACCTGAATTTGGTGCACTGGTTGGCTGCTGGAAATCCAGACTCTGTAAATAGCTATGACAGCGCTCACGGTGCTCCTCCAGAGTGCTTTGCTGCTTGTAACTACGGCCACAATAGCTGCACTTATACGGCTTCCCAACAGTTGGAGAAGACACTGGTAAAACAAGTGGAAATACAGCATTTTCACTGTTATTGTACACTACAATGGAAAAAACAAAACTGAAGCAAACAACACACAAACACCTACCGGGCTTGAATCTGTCCTACCTGCATGAGTGCGAAGATGGCCGGTAAGTGCATCCCGTCTTCGACAGGCATAGCTGCAGAAGGGACATTTAAAGGGCTTCTCCCCTGAGTGCAGCTTGATGTGGCGGAGTAGGTTTCCCTTTTGAGTGAAGGACGCGCCACACTGATTACACTGAAATGGTCGCTCACCTGTAGAAAACTTAAACTTGGTAACTCAACCTCTTAAGCATAATTTATATTTCAAAAAATTTGAGTTAGTTGCAACTATACCTCAAAGGGTTTTTTTAAAGTCAATATAGTACATCAATTGTATACAATGCTGATTTTCTATAAAATTCCAAGATGTCGTCCCCCCCCTCATCTGACCTAGTTTCATTAATAACAAGCAAAGATACCATCTCTATATTTATCCAAACTCAACTGACTGATCACCTGTGTGGCTACGTTTGTGCACCATAAGCACATTAGGCCCAATGCAGATCATTCCACAGATGTCACACTTGAGCTTTCCATTTGGCAGTCTGGTGGCTCCACTTGGCATAGTTTCAGAATTGGTGAGCTCTCTATAGCTTGTGACAGCCTCAGAACCTTGCTCTGGACCTCCTTCCTCCACCCGCTCTCCTCGCTCATCTTCAGTACTCCGACCTGGGTCTTCATCACTATACAACTCCACTTTAATGGAGTTGGCTACAGAAGTACAAGCGCATTTGTGTTATACAGCAAAACAATAATTGGAAACACACCAGCAAGCCTACTTCAGACTGGCTAAAAATTAAAAAAAATAAAATAAAATAAAAAAAGATTTTGGAGTGGCCTAGTCAGTATCCGGACTTAAATCAGATTGAGATGCTTTGGCATGAGCTTAAACAGGTCATTTATGTTTGAAAACCCAACAGTGTTTTCAAAACATTTTGAAAACAATTCTCCAAAGATGTGTGAGCCAAAATTCCTCCACAGCAATGTGAAAGAATCACTGCTAGTTATCACAAATGCTTGATTGCAGTTATATATGTTATATAATGTATTTGCTTGGACTATATTTAAATTTTGTTCGGTGATCTTAAACATGTAAGTGGGAAATCATGGGATGTAGTTCACAATGCTGTAAAATACTTTCCCCAGCACTGTAGGGTGAATAGTGCTGCTCCAGTAAGTTAATTTAAAATTCATATTATTAATGTATAAACATAATCTGATTATGAGAAGAAGATTATAAAAATATTTATCTAGATTAGAAAATAAAAATTTGACAATCACACTGAGAGAATAAAAAGCTTCATATAGATGGAACTAATGAAGATGCTATAAGTTCTCACTGACCACTGAGGGAGCGACTGGGAGAGTTTTCCTTGCTGTTTGGGGTGCTCACTGTTGGACCTCCAAGAGCTCCAGAAAACTCTCTTTCCAATGAAGAGTCTCCACTACCTGCTGCCAAGAAAAGAACCAAAATAAGATATATCATTTAAAAAAAAAACATGCCTAATTTAGAAGGTAAGTATATATGGGTGACTAAATAAATCAGAGCTGCACCTGATATGTAAGACCGTCCATTGCAGTCATCAACATCCATACTAGTTCAGACTGAATACTGAAATGACATTTGTGACAAACATAAATTCTCTTTCACGCACACAAACCTAACCATTTGTCTACAATCGCTTAATTCTTTAAACATGAATTATTGCAGGTTGAGGTCGGAACGTGACATTTTCTGAAATCAAGTAATTGTGGTGTGGCTTAGATTGTAAACAGCACGTTAGACTACACCCCTTTCAATTAACAAAGGGATAAAAAACTAAATAAACGCTTACATTTAATTTTCTAACTAAGACGTAATATCGTTAATTTGTTGTTGCGGCGCAAGAACGGCCATTCATTTATAACAACAACAATTTAAAAAAATCAAATCAAATCCGTGTCTGTTGCTATCAATAAGATCAATCAAAAAAAATAATTAACTAGCAGCTAATCTCAGCATCATACCTAACCTTACCAACCCCAGATAAGACTCCCTAACAATTGAGGTGAGCGATGACAACGCTGCTAAAGTGACTTAAAGTTGCGCTAATCTAACATGAGAAAGATTAAATCGGAAATTGAGACAATAAACGACAAAAAACGGTGCAAACGTTTACATAACGGTGGCGTTGAGGTAACCTAAGTTTACGGCCTTGGCGGCTAACGTTAGCCTACTGCATGTGATGGAAATTACCGTTGGCCAAGTTAGCTAAACTTAACACTTTAACGTTACGGCGGTGTGCCATCACCGACAGCTTGCTAGAAAGCACGGAGCAAAGTTGGAATTAAGTAACATGCGCGGCGATGCGAGTAGATAGCGCTGACTTGTGACAATAATTAACTAGGGCTGACTTGGACACTCCTCGGCGTCGTGTTTAACGCTAGCATAACAAACCAACGCTAGCCTAACGAGCTAGCCACTACTGCCAGTGTTTCCTAAACGGTTGCTATGGCACCCACAGCCAGCCACAATGCTACAGCTTGCCCGCTAGCTGTTGGCCTGCTCCCCTAGCAGCTTTAAAGCTGACTTGTATAAAACAACACCACAGAAGCAGTAGTTTTAAAGCTGCCCAGTTGTCCAGTAACTACTAAATTACCTTTCCCTGTAAGGGCCGTTTCAGTGAGCTTATTCCGTATTTTCATCTGTTTGATTATGACAGCAGCATTTCCTGGCAGGGTTTACCTCCAGCTTCAAATAATTTCCGGGTTACATCTCCAACGCAGCAACAGCTACCCGTTTCCCAGAGCTCTGGTTAACTGCACAACCATCACCCGGCTCATAGTCCAAGATTTCTTTGTTAATGGTTTCTTCAAAAGTAACCTTGCAAACCTTAGCTGTGCTGCTATATTCTTTTAAGAGAGAAGATTGTTTCTCATGGCAACCCTTTAAAAACAAGTCATACTTGTTCAGTCATTTTCTAATTGTACTGTCATGAACTTTATCATTTACATGCTAACTGAGGAATATGGAGTCCAAGATGTGAGTCTTGGGGTTTTTTTGGCATTTTTTCTGAGCACTGCATGGTTTGACCTTGGCGTGAATTTGCTAGCACATCCACTCCTGGGAAGATTATGGCATTGTGTTAACACACAACAGATGCTAAGATCCCAAGCCTGTGGGTTCTATGCAGTATGCTTTCTGTTCCTAGGACTGCATTCTTCTGGAGAGAGATTTCTTTACAGCTCCTGATCAATTCCCAGTATGTCTTGTCTTAAACGAAATAACTAAATGGTGAGGTATGCATCTTCACTGTTAGAGAATACGTTTTTTTTAAAACATGATTATGACTTCAGCTGAACATATAAACAAGTCACTCAAATAAATGTATTCCGCTGCGGCATTGTTTAACCCAGCCTAAATAAATAATTAAATACACGTTTCTTTTTATTTCAGTTTTAGTATATATGTTTGTGGCAGCTGGCACTAGCACTAATTTTTTTGCACATTTTCCCGGTGGTGCTCATACAGGTTTTAAAGACCTGGGCAAAGGTTTTAGTCACTGATCCAGCAATGAGTGATTCCTCTTCCCATCAGACTGTTTTTAAAAGTGTTTTGCATCAATATACAGATAATTGTACTCAGCAAGGAATCATAATACTTTTCCCACTACTGCTGTGGATCAGAGCTGGGTACTTTTCTCTTCCTGCCACATACTCTACTGTGTTTACAAAAGGTAAATTGTGTGGTTTTTTCCAGTGTATTAAAATGATATCCTTTAGCGGTTATCTTTGAGATTCATATTTTGAATAAATACATTATAAGCTGATGAAATGCATTTTAAAAAGATTTAAAAAACTAAAAATAACTGAAATTATTTTGTGAAAAAACCAAAAGGAAATAAAACATTTAGAGGAAATGTTGTTTTAGTATTTGTTGGTTTGGTAAAATTTGTTATTACAACATGTGTGGTGATATTAAGGCTTGTTTCTGCCACTGAAGAAAAATGACAACAAAAAGAAGCAAGTGAAAAATGTCAAGTTATTATCTCCAATTTTCACGTTAGATAGCCTGATCAACTTACAGGAAAAAAAATTAATTAGTGGTGGAAACAATCTTCCTTATGATGACACTTTGGTGGATGTGTTTATTGAGACCTTGGATTTCTACAAGACTGAACGTTATACTAGTTTTCCTAAATCGTGCGTCTCACATATGCCCTCCAAACAATACTTACAAAGACTGAAACTGACTAACTAAATAAATAAATAAAAAATCTGAACATTTTCAAACAACAAAAACTCAAATGGTCAAACCTGCTATGAAACTAACTGAAACTAAACTGAATTAAGAATAATAATTAAAAAAAAAGTTAAAAAAAAAAACCTCCCTAAAAACTAATTAAATAGTCCAAACCTATAACTCCTCCTCTCTCATCCCAGCTTCTTGGTAACCATGTCAAATATAACAGTTAAAATAAGATATAAATCCACAATTTCTGTTCATCCATATATGTCCCTTATATTTTTTAAACCATTTATTCAACATCAACATATTTTAAAGAACAACAATTATATTCTGCAAATTGTTTCCCACAGCGTGTGTGCAATCAACTTCCTGAAACCTACTTGGCCTGGAAAAGGAAGAGACAAAAAAGTAAGCAACATGACAAAAAGGAGTTGACATGTGCTAATACCATGGCTAGACCAAAAGTCAGTCCTCTTTGGCATATTTTTTATTTTTCCTTAATCTTTTCTGAGTGTCATTTTAACATGTTACCCAAATTCATTCTCGACTTTCACACTACATCACATTCTGCAGCTGACATCTTTTTCCAAGAAAACGCTAAAACTAGCACAGATATGCAACTCTGGTACTATACATATAAAACAAACATTACAAACATTTATTAAAAACATATGAAATATTATTAAACAGTCCTGAGTATGTATTTGCCAGAGATACAGTAATTTCTTTTAGACTTCAGCGGGTCCAAAATTACTTACAAATCTCTCTCCACACAATATCTTTAAAATTGCATAGCACACAACAAATAATATATATCATAAAACGTTTACCTTTGACTTATTGCTTATTATTATTTTTTAAGTAAATTGTCCCCCAATTGTAGAATGCCCCCTAAGTCTAAAAAAATCATGTCTGCACTGAAACTTGGAAAATCAACACTGCTTTATCTGACATTTCTCCGAGTACTGTGCATTGAAGGTCGGTCTGGAAAAGTCTAAAAAAAAGTAAGTATGGTGGTCACGCACACGCTGGGACGTACAAAGAGTGACCTCTGCTGTGCAAACGGCCCGTGCCGCTCTGACGTGTGGGCTGATTTTACGACGGTGTGCTTACACAATGACAGTTTCCGTCAGTTTGACTTGCAGATAGTAGCGACCGCGTTGAACCAGCTTTTTTTTTTTCCTCCCCGTTTCCACTTTGGGTTGGAACGACAGTTACATCCTTTCAGAATACCCACCAGAATCGATGATGTACTGGATGAAGGCAGGGGCTTAATTTTATACGACTATAAGCTGTATTTACGGTAGCTAAACTCTGCAGTTCCAGTTTGAGGCCCAGCGGAGAACTCGAGCAGCGGCTCGAAAAAGTTTGTTGTTGTCACGTGACGCGAGACGAATGTGGCGATAAAAGTTTGCTTAGATAGTAAATATAGGTGGTGTACTACATTTTTCAAAGACCTACTCAACACCGTTTTTCACTACAATGCCTCAACCGAAATACAGAAAGATCGCCGTTATAGGTTACCGGTCTGTAGGTGAGTACAGGTTCGAGCTCTTGCACAGCTAGCTTGGGTAACAGGCTAACGTCCTGGCTTTGTTTTCCTTGTGAGCGTATCCGAAGTACAACAGTAACGCTAGCTTACCTTTGTTTCTCAGGGCTCTTTTTTTCTCTTCTACATTAACTACTAAAGCACCTTCAAGTCAACCAGTGTTGCTGTACAGTTGTATCCACACGTTTCTAGATGAAAGGTGACCGGTGAAAATAAACTTAGCCGGGGATACCCTGGTGGAGTGCCAAGTAATGTGTGCTCCAAACTTCTAGCTTAGCAGGTCAATCATAACGTCCAGATTTTAAGAAACTCAATCTGCAACAAGAATAAACCTCTTATTGTATTATTTAAATTAGTTTAAATTATGAAACCTCATTGTGTGACCAATGAAGCGCCATAATTTGTTGTTCTGGCCTAGTGACTTTTTGTTTACACAAGTGTCGGCGTCTGTATTAAAAAGGAGAGTGTAAAGTATGTCCTTTTAAAATCTGTTGTTTTAAAAAACAAAACAAAACTCTTGAAAGAGAGTTTCTTTCTAAAAGTCTACAAATAAATCAACTACAGTTTTGAATCAGCATCGGTATAGTAATAGGTGCATGTGTTTTACAGAGAAATATCAGTATTTGTCACAGAAACTAAAAATGAAACTAAAATAATAAAAACCAAACTGAAATGAACAAACCCACTAACTGAAAACTAAACCTAATTACCTAATTAGAAATTTTTTTAAAAAAGTAAAAATTCTGGTATTTAAAGAAATATACATGTAATTTAACTTACTTGTTAGTATCTTTAAGATTTAGGACTTTGTACAGTACTTCCTTTAAAACTGTGTTCTTTTGAAATAGCACTTAAAAACGTTTCTCTTTCTGTATGTCCATAATTAAATAATCTACAGTTCTGATTCAGAAACTGTACTATAATATGTGCAGGTGTTTTACAGAGAAATATCAGGTTTTTTTTGTCACTGTGAAAACTTTTATCACATCATTACTTAGATAAATTATAATTCTAAATTCATTTACATGCCTACATAAAATTTGTATATACTCATAAAACGTTTATAGCTGTAACAGAACATAACCCCATAGGAATGCTACATGTCAGCATTTTATGGTTGTATAGCAGATACGTCTACAGGGGTAGGCAACTCAAGGTCTCAAGTGCCGGTGTCCTGCAGGTTTTAGATGTGTTCTTGATCCAACACAGCTGATTCAAATGGCTAAATTACCTCCCCAACATGTGCTGAAGTTCTCCAGAGGCCTGGTAATAAACTAATCATTTGATTCAGGTACGTTGACAAAGGGTGATATCTAAAACCTGCAGGACACTGGCACTCGAGGCAGTTGCCTATCAGAAGAACAGTCCTCCACTTTTTGCCAGCCATCCTTTGCTTTCATTACCTAACTTTTAAAATATGTTAGCTTATCTAGATACCACAGGGGGACTATAATTGGACATTAAAATAACTATGTGAAACATTTACTGTGGCAATACATCTGTGGCAATACATCTTAAATTCCTGACCAGGTTACAGAATTTGTAGGATTTGTAGTGCGTTAAAATTACTTATCTACAGTATAAAGGCTTAAACGATCAAGAAATCAACAACAAGCACAAGATCTTTAAATCATGTCTCAGAATAATTGTAACTAACTGCATAATGTTTGTTTATGTTTTTATTTTATTTTTTAACGCTCAGGAAAGTCATCCCTTACAATACAGTTTGTGGAAGGGCAGTTTGTCGATTCCTATGACCCCACCATTGAAAACAGTAAGTTTGCCATTAGTTTTTTCTTTTTTGGTACAGTGTTACAACAAAGACATTTTTTCCTGTTTGATTGCATATAGCGAATTGTAAAACTAGTTCACCTTTCTTTCCTTTAACAAAGCCTTTAACAAAATGGTCAGTGTGAATGGTCAAGACTTCAATCTTCAGCTAGTTGATACAGCTGGACAAGTAAGTAGTTTATGTTAATATGTAAACTAACGCCGAGCATTTGTTTTCAGTCGATAATTTGCCCATGTCATAACATGTGCTCAGATGTCTTATTTGCCCTTGTCTGCAGGATGAGTACTCAATTTTTCCACAATCCCACTCAATGGACATCCATGGCTATGTCCTTGTCTATTCAGTGACTTCCATGAAGAGGTGAGTTGATGATTGGGACTAATTTTGGATACACTAGCACAGGTTTCCAGACTCTTTGTACTACAACTGCCATGCTTTATGTTTCTAGAAAATCATACCAACACTGTGATTTGACATATTTTCAGATATAGCCTCCGAGGGAAGCTGATAATACACTAATCAGAAAACACAAGTGTAGTCTTTTTTTTACCCTTATTTTTTGCAGTCATGTTATATTCTCTTTTTTCTTACTGTCATAAAGTGTTTTTCAATCAAATCCACTTTATTATAATTTTCCAGGCTGTAGTTTTTTTTTGTTTTTTTTTTAGGTTTTTTTTTGTACAAAATGTTTATCGTGATAAATTATAGATACATAAGATGTATGTTAAATCTACTGTCTGATCAGTGTCTCACATGCTGAAATATCTTTCTGTTCAGTTTTGAAGTTGTGCAGGTTCTACATGATAAACTGCTAGACATGGTTGGGAAGATTCAGTAAGTTTAGCTGGTTCTTTAAATTTCAATATTTTCTATGTTGTCTTTTTGTTCCCTTTTCTTTTCTTTTCTTTTTTTTTTCTCTTTAAGTTATGTTTAATACAATCAGGCTTTTGTCTTTTTAGGGTCCCAACTGTTCTTGTAGGGAACAAAAAAGATCTCCATATGGAAAGGTAATCCAGATTTCGGAAAGTGTAAAAATATATCTTAGTAGAATGGTAACTGTACCAATGGCACCTTTTTGTTTTTAATATTCTAATATTTATGTATTTATTTTTGTTTGTTTGTTTTTTTTGCTTGTTTTTTTTTTTCCTTTCAGGGTTATCAAGCCAGAGGAGGGAAAAAAACTTGCTGATTCCTGGGGTGCTGCATTCATGGAGTCCTCAGCCAAGGAAAACGAGGTAGTGAGAAATATCTTATTGAATGCTAACTCTGAATGCTAGCGAGTCCACATTAATTTCTGAGAACATTAACACTCTAATGGCAAAATTCTTGCGATGCAGACTGCTGTGGAGGTTTTCAAGCGGATCATTTTGGAGATGGAGAAAGCTGATGGCAATGCTCCCCCAGAGGAGAAGAAGTGCATTGTGATGTGAAAGTGTATCCAACACATCAGTAAGCTAACTTACTGAAGACAGGAGGCACAACTTCACCAGCTTGCCAATCGTGACCTCACCGACACCAAGACACAGCGGTGGAACTTTTCTGCTTCATTGTGATGTTAGATTAATTTACATAGCAAAGCAACTGCTCAGACAGTTGATAAACTGAGACAGAAGTTTCTAAAACAAGGATTAAACTCTGTTTTAAACAAAGCAGCATCTTCGATGAACACCACCTTCCAATATTGAAATGTAAGCTACGTCTGGGCATAATCTTGATTTATTTTTTTATTTTTTTATTTTTTTGAGTTGAACAAAATCCTCGGAAAAAAATTAGACATTCAGATTTGTTGCTTCATGTTGATTGCATCATTTCCCCCCCTAATCTTTGAGAAATCACTGGCATATGCCTTATTACTCTCCAGTGATGGCTGGTTAATGGTCTTTCCGAGGACTGGTGTATTACTTCAGCTGGTCTTTTTTGGCATCGATGCAGAGTCGCAGTTCACATTGCTTTAAATGTGGTGTTAAAGTGTCATTGTTTCTTACAAATGGTGGGTTTCCTTGGATAGCCTATACTGACATTGTACATTAGATATCCCACTGTGGTTTCACGGTCCTCACTGTAATAACTTTGTCTCCTCATCTTCAGGTACCTTTCACTAATGAACTGTGGGGCTGTGTCTTTATGACAAGAGAAGTCTGTTATATATTCAAATATTTGACAACTCACATCTTAGGTTCTGATAAACAGACTGTCATTGTTTCTACATTTTAATTTCTGATTAACTGTAATAAAGATGTTATGGACAGCACTCAGAGAGATTTAGGATAGATTTGAGTAGATCTTTGCTATTTACCACTTATGGCCTTTTTAAAAAAAAAAATAAAAATAAAAATTTAATCTTAGAAATTGGTTTTTGGTATCATTGGTTATCTCTTGAGTGATGCAGTTTTGCTCTCTTAAATATCCTAAGTAGAGTTTATGCATATATGTGCATTGTTAATTATGAACATTGAGGGTTTTTTTTTAAATACTTTTTAACATTGTGTAAGGTTAAGTGGCAAAATGCCTGAGTTAGCTTAGAATTTATTATTATCTTTTTTGATCTGGTGGTTTTGATTTGATGGTTCCTGTGGGTTCGATAAAGCCAAGTCAGTATGGTATGCAGTCCACTGAATTCAAACTGTGGACTTGCATGGTTGCAGTCAGATACTTGAGGTCCTTAATGATGATGTGTTTTTTGTTTTTCCTCATAGAATCTGTAGCCTTATGAATATGTGACAAACTGTGGAGCTTCTCCCCATAATCCCGATGTTGTACCTTTAGTGGTTAATTGTAACTTTTTATCAAGTGCTGTGCTGAATGAATAGCTGCAAATTGATGACGATGGTTGAACAGAAGCTGGTGATGCTGTGTCTTGTGCCTTACTGTTGTTCAAACTCCCTCATCTGCTTCCTTTCATGACTCAAGGTGCTCTTAAAAGTATTTTTCCCCCCTTCTGTTAACTTGACACCTTGGGTGTAGGTGTCGTACACCTGAACACCAATATTTTCCTATGGGTCAATGTTGATTCAGAAATCTTGCTGTAAACAGTTTTGTATATAAATAAATCTGTTACTCATCTGATGTGCCTGATGACTTTGCCCCCCCCTCCCCCCGTTCCTTTTTGGAACTTAGCTTGTGAAATTAGTTTTATTAAATCTGCTTTTTGTACAAGAATTTTATTTTATTTTTTAATTTTAAGTTTTATTGCCCTTTACTACAAGCTTTGAGTACTCTACCCATTCAAATTTGATGTTACTCAATAGAGAAACTATAACTGCTGACATCAGTCCATCTAGTATTATTTAACAGGCCAATGATGGTCAATAGGACAATTATATGCAGATACCAATATATTAGAGCATCCTTATATTGTGAATATTGATTATATTGGTGATATATGTGATGAAAAATTTTTGCTGTTAGCAGATGATTCAAATTGGGGTTTTTTTGTTGTTCTATAGTGATTCCCAAAGCTACTTAAACTAAATGCATAAAAAGGGGTTCTTTTTCAGTTTTGAAATCATGTTAAATATTCATATTGACATACTTTCTTTACAAAAAAAAATCACAAATAATAATAAAGCTATGGGATTTAAGTTGCGTGTAGTTCTTTGTTTATGTGATACAGATGATGCAGATACAGTGCAGAAGTCTCACCAGATAAAAGTTCAGCTATTAATGAGGAAGAAATAAATCACTGTGGAAAATACAAAGAGAAGGAGTAAGGAAATATATTGAGTTCGGTGTAGTAAAGGTTTTTTTTTCTTTTGTTTTTTTTAGAAATTTAGAGGTGTGATTTGGGTTTTCAGTGTCCTGTAAAATAGCCATATTTATATTATTTGAAAATAAATGGTACTGGTAGTTAGTACTGGCATTATATTAGAGTCAAACCAAAATTGTATTTTTCCAAAAACTGCAATTAAGTCACAATGTTTTTGCCTTATAAAAGAGATACTGGTGGTATTTCTGATAATATTCATAAAGGGAGATGCTTCTACTGCTCTGCAAAACAGTTATCAGGTGTAAAATTGTGCATATATATATATATATATATATATATATATATATATATACACACACAACTGGGTCACTGCAGCAGATTTCAATGCAAGACACCCTACGAGACCACTCAACTCCCATGCTACAGTCAGCAAACTGCTTGCTAAGTTTCGTGAAACTGGTTCCGTGTTTGATTTGCCAAAATGTGGACACAAGAAAACTGTCACTAATGAAGAAACATCAGTGGCTGTCCTAGCTTCATTCAGCAAGAGCCCACAGCGTAGCACTTGTCGCATGTCGCTGGAGAGTGGCATTAGTCGAACATCCTTCGGCGGATATTAGCTACTCACAAATGGCACCCTTACAAACTCCAGCTGCTGCAGCATCTCAACAAGGATGACCCAGATCGGCACACAGAATTTGCAGAATGGGCAAAACAAAAAATTGGAACAGGACCCTCAGTTCATGCAGAAGATTTTGTTCAGTGATTAGGCAAACTTTTATGTGAACGGTGAAGTTAAACAAAACCACCGCTATTGGTCTGACACTAACCCACATTGGATGGATCCCTCCAAGACTGTTGGAACAACAAAAGTGATGGTTTGGTATATGGGGTACAACAATAGTGGGTCCATTCTTCATCAATGGAAACCTCAAGGCCACTGGATATTTGAAATTGCTACATGATGATGTGTTTCCCTCTTTATGCACTGAAGCTGGCACGTTCCCTGAGTTTTTCCAGAAGATGGCGCACCACCACATTATGGGTGCCAGGTCCGAGCATTCCTAGATGAACAGTTTCCTGGAAAGTGGATTGGTCGTCGTGGGCCAGTTGAATGGCCCCCAAGGTCTCCCGATCTGACCCCCTTAGACTTTTATCTTTGGGGTCATCTGAAGGCAATTGTCTATAGTGTGAAGATACGAGATGTACAGCACCTGAAACTACGGATACTGGATGAAACCAAGCACACCATTGTTTTTCTTGTGACATTACCAATAAGTCTGATGTGTCACATGGCCCTCTTCCTATTGAAAAAAAAAACAAAAGTTGTATCCAAGATGGCCGACTTCTAAATGGCCACCATGGTCACCACCCATCTTGATGAGTTTGCCCCCTCACATATACTAATGTGCCACAAACAGGACTTTAATATCACCAACCATTCCCGTTTTATTACAGTGTATCCATATAAATGGCCCATCCTGTACGTGTGTGTGTGTGTGAGAGAGAGATGCTTGTGACGTGTATAGTCTACTTTCTTCTTTTATTATATAGTATTATTGTTATATGTTAGAGGTTATGCTGCTTCTAATTATTCTGCTCTGAAACTGAGAAGACTCACATATTTTCTCAGCCAGTTTTTTCAATATTTACCAATGTCCCCAATTTCCCATCTTGATCCTGCTCAATAGTGGCTGAGTCCCACATATTACTGTATATACCTGAATATACCTTATCAACCAAAACCTTTTTTTATTTTTTTGAAGTTGTCTGAGCCAAAAAGCACTAGAGAAGATTTTCTTAAGCGTTAACTTTTTTTTGTTCAACCAAACTTTACGTAGCATCTGAATGCAAGAGTTCCAAGACAACAGAGTAACTCTAAATAGTTGGGGAATTTTTCAGTTTTCCTTAAAAGTAATATTCCATAGGACTCCTAAACGCTTTTTTATTTACACAATAATAAAACAAACTACAAATTCTTTACTCCTGAGCGCTACCTGCTTCAGAGCTAAAATGACATCCCTGGAGTGCGGCAATATTACGGCAATTACGGCAGAGACAACACAACCATTCATGCTGATCGTTGTTAGTTAGTTAGCGGAAGACCTTCGAGGTTTGGAGAGCTGCACACGAAACCGGCTACAGAGAAGCGAATCAGCGAATGGAACATGGAGTGTGTAAGTTAGTAGCTTGCATATACAGAGAGGTTTTCCACCCAGCTTTCTCACGTTTAAACCAAATGAACTTACCCGACTTTTTGAAGCATGCTAACGGTACAAGCTAGCTAGCGAGCAAATTCTTGGTGGAGTGGTCGTTGGGGCCAACCCGCTTATTATTGCGCTTAGTCAGTTGTCAGTAAAACGGATATAATTATCAGTCCCGGTACCTGTCACAATTACCAGTCAAATGTAACAATACGCGACATATTGACGCAGCTTAAGAGCCTTAGCGTAAATAGAAAGTCACCTCGACAGGCTCAGTAATGTCAACTGACTGACAGGCTAGGTAATACTCCGCTAACCTTTCTGTTATAGTATTTATTTATTTATTTTCCAAAGTTTCGTTACTTGTCAGTGTAACCGAGTCTTTTTGGACACCTAGAAATCACAAAATTATCTCACTAATTACAGAGGATCTTATTTGACTGCAAAGTTATACTGTTTGATGTTTAGCCAGCTGCTTAAGTGCAGTCTATGGCTCGGTGTTAAAGTACAGTTACCCACGTCTCAGAGTCAAGTCATAAACAATGAAACTGTTCACATTTTCGTGGTTTTCATGACTCCTCTGGAAACAGCTGACCTGTCAGCGACACTTCCAGTGAATACATGTTTATCAGAGGACTCATTGGGCTGTACTTCTCACGGTCTTTAAACTTTCTACCGACATCAGCTACGATAAACTTCTTTAAAACAAACAATAAACTTCAGATCTGACTTTGCCGTGCATGTCAAAAACAGACATTCCCACATCTTACCCAATATATCAGGTTGTGAAACTTTACATAAACACAACCATTTTTCTAGAAATAACCACTTCTAGAAATATCAGGTTATTTCTAGAAATGCTTTGTATGGATGTATCTCTTTTGTGCCCCAAAAATTGTAAATATTAAAATGTATAAAATAAAGTGTTGTAGCGTCAGAGCAATATTGGTGTGATATAATAGAACGCAACCAAAAAATATTACTTCATTTGGTGATATAAACGTTATCTTTCAGATTCCAGTAACTATTGATGATCTTGAGAGCAAGAAGGACCCAGTCATTGAAGGTAAGGGGCTTGCAACACAGTCTGTCATGCTGGGAAAGTTATTTTTAGAAAATAGTGACAGCTGATTCTCATTCCTGTAGATCCAGAACACAATGTTTACACCAGGTTTATGAAGTCCCATCGTTGTTATGACCTTGTGCCCACCAGCTCCAAATTAGTTGTGTTTGATACATCACTTCAGGTAAAACAAAAGCCCTAAATTAAATACATATATTTTTCATGATCTAGTATAGCTTTAATCTGTTGTGCAATTCATCCTCAGGTGAAAAAGGCCTTTTTTGCTCTTGTTTCTAACGGGGTGCGAGCTGCGCCTTTATGGGATAGCAAGAAGCAGTGTTTCGTTGGTAAGAGTAACTTTCATTTGGCTCTGTTGCACTAAAAATTAAAAAAAAAAGAAAGAAAGAAGTTGAATAATAATGGACTCCTGTTTCTGCTCTGCAGGTATGCTAACCATCACAGACTTCATTAACATTCTTCATCGCTATTACAAATCTCCATTGGTAAGATGTAGACACTGAATAGATGTAACCAATTAAATCTCAAACTTAAACTCCATCCACGGTTGTTTTAGTTATGTATATTTTACCTTATTTTTGGTCAAACATGCACTTTCTCTTCGTTTCTGCATTACTTGATCCCTCCATTCACTTATTGTAAATTTTCAGGTTCAGATATATGAGTTGGAAGAGCACAAAATTGAAACCTGGAGAGGTGAAAATCCTTTATTAATATGTAACATAATGTACTTGTAATATCTTAAAGGGAAAATTCATATTTGTCTTTTCTTATTTCCAATAGAGGTGTATCTTCAAGACTCTTTCAAGCCCCTGGTTAGCATATCTCCTAATGCAAGGTAAGTAACAGAATGTGCTATTTTAAGTTTGTGAATGCTTATTTGCACTATAATATTAAACTCTGAAAAGTCCCTTTGGATGTTAGTTTGTTGACCAGAATCACTTTGCAGAGATATACTATTGAGAAGGAAAGGCTAGAGTATACAACCTCAATTCCCCCAAACCTTGGGATCCTGTGTTGAAATCTAAATAAAAACGAATGAAATGCGTGTTTGCCAAACATGGCAAACCCACCCACAATAATTTTGAATTCGATGTCAACAACGCATCTCAAATGTTGGGACATGGCCATATTTAGCTATGTGTAGCGTCCTTTTTTTTTTTTTTTTTTTTTTTTGAAAAAGTGTGTCTTTTCTTCTTTGTATTCACATTTTGCACAAATAATCATATAAACACAACACTCGCATACAAATCAAATAACTAAAAAATAAAGTAACCCCTCCACCCCCCTTCACCCCCCAAAAAACCGACAACAACAAAAAATAGGGCAAGTGGTGATGGGCTGAGATTCACAATAAAACACATGATTGGTGGTTTAAAGGGCTATATAACACCATTGTTGCATCATTGCCTCTCATTTTCACAACAGTTTGGAAACAGAGGAGACAAGCTGCTGGACTTTTAGAAGAGGAATGTTGTCTCATTCTTGTCTGATATTGGATTCTAGCTGTTCGGCAGTCATGGACGATCTTTGTTATATTTTTCATCTCTCGATGCTCCAGATGTTTTCAGTGTTTTCTGCTTTAAGCTTCAGTGTGTTGTGTGTTCAGGGATTTTCTTCTGCATACTTTGGTTGGTATGCAGAAAGTGTTTGTTTGAGTTACTCTTACCTTCCTATCAGCTTGAGGCAGTCTGGCCATTCTCCTCTGACCTCTGGCATCACCGAGGCATTTTTCACCTTTTTAGTGTTGTGTTTTTTTTTTTGTTTTTTTTTTAATTATTAAAAAACCCTAGATATGTCTGTGCAGGAAAATCCCATTAGATAACCAGTTTCTGAAATGCTAACAAACATGCAGTGTTCAGAGTAAAATCTGTCTACATGCATTGAGCTGCTGCCATGTGATTGGCTGACTAGATAATTGCATTAATGAGCAGCTGAACAGGTGTAACTAATAAAGTTGCTCATCAATGTGTCTCTTCATAATATTTTATTCAGTCGTTTTCTGTCTCATTTAGCAGACTAAATAACTTTAACTAACTTTCTGTGTTACAGTTTGTACGATGCTGTGTCATCTCTGCTGAAGAACAAGATTCACAGATTGCCTGTAATTGACCCGCTGACGGGGAACACGCTCTATATTCTCACACACAAGAGGATTCTCAAGTTCTTGAAGCTTTTTGTAAGTCCCCCGGGGCTCCTCACCTCCTCACCACACTGCAGCCGCATTAAGTACTTTAAATCATCTGCCATCTTCATTTTTGTTTTGAATAGAGAAGAGTCTGCAGTTAAGTAGTCTGGGAATATCTCATTTCCTTAACTAAAACACCCACAGTTTTTATTCAGTTATCTAAAATGCTTGTTATGTTTTCAGATAGCAGAGATGCCAAAACCCTCGTTCTTGAGGCAAACTTTAGAAGAACTGAATATCGGGACTTTCAAGAACATAGCAGTGGTCCGTGCAGACACACCGCTCTACACAGCTCTGGGTATTTTTGTTGAGCAGAGAGTGTCAGCGCTCCCTGTTGTTGATGACAAAGGTATGAGGACTGACTGAAATGATGCCCCTGTTGGTTTTCCATTAACCATCTCAGAAATCTTGAATTTTATGCTCCATTGTGCTGTGTCTGTCTCGCAGGTCGAGTGGTGGACATTTACTCAAAATTTGATGTTATAGTAAGTTATAAGCACTCACTGCATGCTGTTTAGGTGTCTCACCACCATCTGACAGGGCACATTGTGCTGTCTGTGACACCATAAATGCACTTTTATGATGACAGTAAATCATGAACAATGCATTAGAAGCATCATATAAGAGCATGTCTTTTTACAGAATCTAGCAGCAGAGAAGACGTACAACAACCTGGATGTGACGGTGACCAAAGCCTTGCAGCATCGCTCACAGTACTTTGAAGGAGTGCTGACATGCAACAGGCATGACACCCTCGAGGCCATTATCAACAGACTGGTGGAGGCTGAGGTGAGAAGAGGATGTACACATTATTTGTTCACATTATCTACTGCATGTGTCAATCATCCACTATTTAAGCTCCTTATCATGCATAATCTGAGTAGCAGATTTTGAGCTTTAACTTTCAGTGTTTTGTCACTGCAGCTGTAGGAAAAATTAAATATTCATTAAAAGGGGACTTATTATGCCTTTCATTATGTTCTCTTTCCATCTATATAATATAAAAGTTTAAAATATTGAGGTCAGTTTAGGTAAAAGTATTCTCTCATGCTCTGTTTCAGAGTCCCCCCCCCCATTGTTAGGTCTGTATGATTTCAGTGAGAGGTGATATCCCTGTGATGGTCATTGTAGGAACACAGCTCTGCCTGTGACTATAGAAGCCTCACCCACCTGCTGTTCAAACATTCTGTTTGAGAGGTGCAGCAAATCAGGAGAAGGCTGGCTAAAGAGAGGGTGGCCTTAAAGGGAAAGATGCTAAAGCTGTTTGTTTCAGGCAGAGGAGAAATTCAGAGGCTGTATCAAGGCTCACTATGAGATGAATGAGGATTAGGATTATAATCAGTATTACCACATGTCTAATTAGCATATTACTACATTGTTTCAAAAAGAGGATAAACCGAGGGTTTGCAGCAAGGCCATGTAGATGGACAAAATAGGTATTGTTAAATTTGTGATTTATTCCAAACTACTCAGTTAAAGAACTAAGTATACATTAAAAAAAATCAGCACCATAATAAATAATAGCACACCCCCGTTTGCCTCACAGCAAGAACATCCTGCATTTGAATCCATGCCGGGGCCTTTTTGTGTGGTATTTGTGTGCACACCTCTTGTCATAATTGTTTCAAAACATAATTTGAAATCATATTAAAAAAAAACAACTCTTTGTTACTTCTGCTATCAAAGCTGCTGTCTGTGTACAGTTTGTCTTACACCAGTTTCTCTCCACGTTCCTTATGTAAAAATGGTACCTTGCTGAGATAAGTGTAACACCAACGATGTTCTTGTGTTCCCTGCAGGTGCACAGGCTGGTGGTAGTGGATGAGCACGAGGTGGTGAAGGGAATCGTCTCCCTTTCGGATATCCTCCAAGCCTTAGTGCTTACAGATAGAGAATAGAGTACGTACACTTCTGTACTGAAGCCTACCTATTTTTTATTTTTTTTATATAAGGGGGATTCACTGAACATAAACTTGAAGTGATTATTTGATTTTTCTGCCTACAGGGACAAATTGGAAAAGTTACTCAAAAAATGAAAGGCTGCACATTTTAAAGGTGACACCAGAGCATAGGAGAGGAGATAACCAAGCCTGTAAGAGGGGAATTATGACAGCAAATGGAAGTTCTATCAATAATTTTTGTTTGTTTTGTTTTTTTTGTAATTTACCCATGAATAATTCTATTTGTCTACAGAAACCAAAATATTGTGAATTTTAAACTATATAAAATATTTTTTTGGTTCTACAGCTTATACAGAACCTCCTGTAAATTGAGCCAAATTTTGAGTCACTGGAAAACAGCCACTCAGTACCTTTCAGTTAAGAATGAACCATTATTTGGCCTGATAAGTTTCCCCCAAAACACCTGAATGAGGTTTCTGTAAAGAATCCAAGGCCTCAGAGTTCAATCTGTTGTGTAGCCAGACAGCCACGAAGCAAACCTGGAAGAGCACTTAGAGTGAAGTCTAAAATGAATTTGCTGTTGAAGACAACCATTAACTGTGCTGTATCCTCTTTGAGTGCTTGTCTCCGGATATTTATAGGTGTTATATTTTGCCATTTTAGTGTGTTGTCTTATAACTGCATGTGTAATGGATTCTATACTTTACTCAAGAGACCCCCCCCCCCCCACACACACACCGGTGTCATTATTAGTCGTAAAGGGATCTGCTTATGGCTTCAGTGCTCCAAAATCTCATTCTGTTAAAAAAACAGTCCTACTTTGTTAATTTGACCATTACTTTCAGTTATTCTACTTTTGTTTTCTTTGTTCTGTGTTGTGTTGATGTGATTTATTTACTGTGTCAGAACATCGGCTGTTATAGGTTTATGTAGTTTTTATGGGGTTTTTTGCGTTTAGAGGACTGACTTTATCAAAATCACTACATACCAGCGTTTTCTATTTTCTAAAGAAGATAAAGTGAGGAACATGTCACACTTCCTGTTTTAGGATATGTGAAATGGATTGTGTACAACTATGTAACTGCACAGTTTTTGTACTAATCTACAGTGATATTATAATTTAAACAATGAGCAATAAAGGTTCTTTAAGAGTGCTTGTATTTATTCTAACTTTTTCAGTGGCTAATTTCTCACATGAATACAATCCTCGACCCCCTTTGAGTATAAAAATATTTCTTTGAGTGGGGAGGGTGACAAAAATGAAATAGGACACCACATAGGAAAATGACTGAATTTATTACATTTGTGTTGAATGTTACATGATAATTGTCCTGAAGGATTTTTTTTAAGTAGAATAATTTCAATAACATAAACAGAGTTTTACAACATGTAATATAATACCTATATATATATATATATATATATTTTTTTTGTTATTTGTTTTGTTTTGACTCTCACTCCAGCGTTCCTTCAAAGGGATACAGACACCGAAGTATTAAAAACACTGAACGCAATATTCACTTTTAAGTTGTAAGGCAAACAAAGAAAGTATAAATATGCTTCACATTCAGTAGAGCTCCCCGGTCTTTTTAAAAAGAACAACACAGGTTGGGAAAAAAATGTGAGCTAACACGAAGGCATTTCAGCAGTATTTAGTTTCAACACTTCTTTCTCCCAGAGATTAAAGAAAAGCAAAATTATCTTTACAATTTTCAGTCAGAAAGGTAGGTCATCTGACTGGCATGATTTGTGTAAACATTCTCGTTTTCAGTGGCGTGATTTTAAACACTGGAGGCCGTGGCCGGAGATGATTCTGAGAAAAGGTTGGTGTTAATGCAGCGAGGTCAGTAGTAGTGCACAATTGGTCTGTCAGACTTCACATGAATACATGCAAACAGTACCTGCAGAATCTGCATACAGCTCAAGACAGAAAGTGCACATTTTTCCTGAATACATAAAAAAAATGCAGTGATTTCTGACAATGTTAAGAGTGAAGTGATATACATAAGGCAAAATATGCACATTAAGGAGGTATAGCATGATGGGGGTACGGGGGCACAGAAAGAAATATGAATTTAACTTATACTGCTTGGCAGTAATAAAGTACTATAAGCAGGTCACCTGACAACTACAATGATGTTACTTCACAGGTCAAAGTAATTTGGTAAATATTTGTCTTTACAAAAAAAAAAAAAAAGGCTAAAAAAGTCATCTAAAAACACACTCAGACCTAAACTGAAGTATCACCTTAAAAGGCTAGTGTATGTGCAGTGCAGTAAATATACTTGATCAGGAGGAAAGTGCCCTGGGGGGAAAAAAAAACCTCTGACATGCTGTAAGAGTATAAAATATGAGCTTAAACATGGATTCTGGACTGCACTGAAGGGGCAGTGTAATATCTGAATGTTGTGTATACAAGCTTATCTGAGGTTATGCATTCATAACAGGAGACTATGATACTAACATACAACACATGGATCTGCATGCATCTTGTATTTTACGTGAGTGGTCTGAAGTTAATGAAGATCAAAGTCAGCAGTAGCTGCTGCTCTTCATCCTAGTGATGTTTAATAATTCCTAAATATGTACTTTTCTAAATGTGAACAGACTAAAATCAGGTGAATTATTTGTGCTAAAGGATTTCTAAGCAATGCAATATGTCAGGAATCAGGAAATGTAAATATTACTCACAGCTTATCTGTTCCTATTAGCAATCATTTCAATCTCATAACAAACTCACAAAGGAGTCCCCCACAGTCTTTTTTCTATTTGTTTCTGCACTGTGTTCAGACTCTGAGAGAATGAAACAGTAAAAACTGTGCAGGCCTCATTTCTCCTGGGCTGAAGGGTACCAGGAGTCCTGATCTCTATGACACTGGTATCAATAAAATCTTCCTTTGAATGCTGCAGGTATGGCAGGAATTAACCTACACAGATAGCCCACAAGCTCCCGCACAGTGTTCAATTACTGATATAACAGAATCAGTATAAATGAGTTAATGCTCTTCTGCTAAGACAAAACAAGCAAATGCTGTTTACTAACTAATAATTACTGTCAACACACTTTGAAACAATAAAACACCAGCAACTGATTTTTAAAATGTAACTTGGTTAAGTACATGTGCTGTTAATGACTGCATACACAAGAAATTCAGGAAACTGTTAGTGCAGCGTACAGGGTGAGGAAAGAGGGCGAGGTTTGGCAGCGGGAGCTAAGGATGAGACAGGGAAGGTGTTCCTGTATGTTTTGGCTGGGTAAAGCGAGGTAGGGTTTGTCAGAAATAAAGTGGTTTCAAACCTGACAGAAGTGTCTGTGCGGTAAAATTTTACAAAGTGCCACTCTTCATTGTGCCATCTCTTTAGAAGGCCCGACCCCTTCCTCTCAGTCTGGATGGAGGGGCCGGGTCCTCTTCAGTGCTCTGCTGTCTCACACATGCTCAGATTTTAATGTCCTCCTGAATGCTGAGCTGGGACAGCGTCTTTTTTATGCGCAAGGCCGTCAGGCGTGCAGCTCCGTTAGCATACCAACACTCCCTCATGATTTTACCCATGATCCGCAAGGCCTGATAAGCACAAGGAAAACAGCAGTAAGGCTTAAGAGCTTGTATTGCAATATAAATAATGGTGGTGATGACACAAAGTAGTTCAGACACTCTATGAACAGCATTTGAGTGCTACTTTATACTGAAGAATACAAGTATCAGATTACCCTAATTCATTCACATAAAACACTAATAAGAATCAAAACAATGTAGAAAAGCAGTTTTAATAATAACCCGGTTTATTTCATTCTGGGTCTTAGTTTTGTAGTTTGGGCTATCAGATTCAGCATGAATGCAGATCACCAATGATCTGTACACATTACGGAAAAGGCAACACGGAAATATATATAACAAACTGAAACAAAAACATAAGATCATTGTGAAAAATATCATTTAAACTTAAAAAGTTTTCATGATTGGCTTAAAAAAAAATCTCAACAAATGTGGATTTTTTGGGAACTGTGATCAAGATTTGCAATGTATGCAAACAAAAATACCAGAGTGCCTCCACACGTTCTGCTTAGCCATGCAAACCCATGCCACGAAGCCCCTAATGCACAGTTTTTCTGCTGAAGAGCTCTTGGTGACCCTGCTCTGTAACTCTACATGGTCTGCCACTCTGCGGCTGAGCTGCTGTAGTTCCTAAATGCATCCACTTTGCTATGATACCACTTACAGCTGATTTCATGAATTGACTGTTAGCATCCTGTTACAGTACCACACTGGAATTTAGTGAGCTCTCTTTACCTCTTTCACAAATGTGTGTATTTAAAGATAAAGAGGTGTGGCCTCAGTCTAACAAACTAAAGTAATCATTGCTCTCTGGTGGGGGAAACTATGCTTTATCACGCTACACATGGAGCTGCACAGAAATTACTAAAAGACTCACAAACTAGTGAATCTTGGAAATGAATGAACTCTATTATGTGTTGTCCTAGCTGTAACAAAGCCAACAGTGTAGTTCAGAAACACCACAAGCAAAGAACCTAAGTGGAGGTTACACTGTTAGTTTAAGATGATGAATGCAATGTTATAATTAGAAATATAAATAAAGGCCCAAACTGCAAAAGTAAGATCTTTCTGATGTAAGTGCAGATTTTAGTTCGATTTGAACTTAATTTTCATACCTCGTAATTCTGCCACCAATTTGGAATATTGGGTCGAAGCTTTTGGTCACACACCACTTTTCTCATCTCCTCTATGGACGGGTCAGACGGTACCAGATCATAGTAGGGCAGCTGGTATTCTTGATGGATACCTGATAACACAGAATAGTGTGAGGTCAGATCAGTGCCGTCTCTGGCATATCCAACGAGAGGAAAAAAATAACAACAACAAACAAGGCAGTTCAAGTATCCGAAGAGAAAACAAAGAGAGTCCAACCTCCACTGTTACAGCGGCGTGCAATTTCCCAGTAGACCAGGCCTAAAGCGTAGATGTCAGCACATTTGAATGATTCGAAGTGTCTTGTGTTTATGGTCTCATCGAGAACCTCTGGGGCCATGTACCTGGGGAACATAAACACAGTCCTGGTTTGTGCTGGCGTAAAGGATAAAGGGATATTCTGGGAAAGATGTCAGAAGATATCTGTGAGAAACGATGGTCAGCGTTAAGTCAGCAGATGAGAAAGACCTGTTGGTTCCCACTCTCTGATTGGGCGCGATGTCGATCGTATCCGTGGCAGAGTCGTGACGGACAGCCAAGCCCAGGTCGGCAATGGCACAGGTGCAGTTCTTCTTCACCAGGATGTTCTTGGACTTCAAGTCTCTATGGGAGATGCCTGGCTTTCCTATCATGACATGAAGGAAAACAGTCACTTGTTAATACTTTCTTCTGCATCTAATTGTTTTGTCAACATGAAAATAGAGCCTGTTCGTGCAAGTACCATTTTTTTAAACTTTCATTTACTACAAGTTAGAATTACTCCTCCACTTTTGCAACAATTTATGATCAAGCAGACTCAACAGAGAAAAATGTTCAAAGATAAGTATAGGTGAGACCAAGCCTTAAAAAAATGGAACATAAATCACTGAAAAGCAGCTGTTTTGTAACTTAACACGACTTACACGCCCATTCAACAAAAAAACATTGTTCTTTGATTAACCAAAATATGCAAAACATTACAAAATATCACAGTCGCCTTTGTCAGTGCACAATCTCTGTGAGTAACATTTAAATATCAGGTTGTGACATAGTCTGTTGACTCAAGCCAGTTACGTCAGAGTCTTGCAAAAAACGGAAAAGTCCAGCTGTCAACGCCCGATGCCTTTTTCCTGTCTGTGGCTGGGGGAGGCAAAGTTAAAACTACTGTGGAAGTGATAAAAGGTGTTGATCAAAGCACTTTTTGATAACGCAGATATGCACAGAGTGTAAGGGAGGTGCACACAAGCAATGCTTAAATTCACTGGCTTATGAAACTGAATTACAGCATACCAGTTTAAACATAAGTCAGAAAACTGATGTTCTGAACTGCCAGTCGTTTCTACATGAATACATTTACCAGACAAATTATTAGGTACACCTTCCTAGTCCTGGGTTGGCCCTTTTACTTTCAGAACTTCCTTAATTCTTTGTGTGACAGATTCAACAAGGTGCAGTAAAACACTCCTCAG